AGCTACATAGATCATCTATCAATTATTTCCACATCTTATTCTATTACAATAAAATTATATATTAAAAATCTAAGTATACAATACACAGATATTAAACAAAAAACATGCAACAAAGTATTCAGTATTTAAGACAAGGATGTTCTCAATTCTAGTTCCTGCATCTCAGCAACTTTCTCAGCCTTCTATTTCTTTCTCACAGAATTTTCTGGAAGATCTGAGAGGTAACTGATATTAGGCGCTTAGCGTGCTGGGCCTCAGGCCTCCTTCCTACCCATACTTTATGATAATCCCAGTCTTTGCTCATTATTTCAGTAATGAATTCCTTTTTCATTTGGGGGACGATCTTAGTTAAGGGCTGAGTGCCCTGCAAAGATTTTACACTTAGGAGGCCAGGGGAGAATTAAAAGGTAAGCCTCTTGACATTTACTTTGGAAGTAGTGAGCAGGAATGGAATATTTTTTAAAGAGTACAACATCTTAGCAGCCTGTTGCATTTACTGCTGCCCTACATATCCTATTGTTCTAAAAGGATTTTGTATTTATCACATATATGCTACCACTGAAGTCACAGGGAGGTCGTGAAGCCACGGGATGGGTCGGGACCAGGACGCGGAGTGGCAGGAGACACAACTGGAAGGAGCCCTGGGCAGATCAAGGAGGGCCTGGTTTCGGTCCAAGGGTTCAGATCTTGGCATGAGCCTGTGGGTTCATGGTCCTCTTTGTCATGGACTAGATGCCAGGATTTCGCTTTGTCATTTCCCTCCAACCCTAAGCCCCACAGATGGAAAGTTTAACTGCTAAGAAACGTTCCAAGCTTGGGATAAACAGAAGATGTCACCTCTTGTTTTCCTAGTCTCCTGATGGCCACAGGCAGCTGGCATGAAGTCCAGGATTCCTCCACTGTGGTGCCCGCCTCCCTGCAAACATTACCCTCCCCAGAACTCAGGAGGCTAAGGAGGGGGCCCTGGTTCCAAGCCCCCAGGCTCATGCCCCTGCAGGGCTTCCCCTCCTCCTCCCAGACTCTTCTTTGGCTCTTCGCTCCTCCCTCCAGAACTCCCTACGCCTACACCCTTGCTCTTCCTCTCCACATCTTGCTCCCCATTTCATATTCCCCCTCCCAGGGGCCCTATATCTCTTTTTGCAAAAATGTATTTTAGATTAGTCTTTGAAACTTCCAAAATGAATCTATAACATAAATATTGAAAAAAAAAAAAGCTGTCTAGCTGCACGAATGTTACAGCAATAATGCAAAACTACTCCAACAGGCGCTAAATAGGGGGTGATTGTTCAAGCAGAAAAACTCATTGAAGTGATTTAAAAGAAATTATTATAGCACTCTTTTCCCAGTGACCTTCAAATATTTATCTTTTCTGTGTAGCACATATACTGTAATAGGAACCCCAGAAACAACATTAAAACTACTGATGCGAGAATCGAACACAAACGCATTGCTGCTGGTACATGAGTTTCTTTGGAAACTCCTTCCTTTGCACTATTGAAGACAGAAAAAAAAATATTTGCGTATGTACAGTGAACAAGCAAGATACCAAGAACTCTGAGGAGGGCTGCAGAGAATGGACTAGGATCGGGCAAGCACTTTCATGGGTATACAGAAAGGTTCCTGGCTGTAGATAGGGTAGACCGGGGATGCCGAGCCTGGTTGCTGGAAAGCAACTGTTGCCAAGGGAAGGTCCAGCACTCCTTTTTTTTTTTTTTTTGAGACATTGTCTCCATGTATAGTCAGGCTGGCTTCAACCTTGTGGGATCCTCCTGCCTCAGCCTCCAAAATGCTGGAATCACAGACACCTGCCACCACCCCTAACAAGTGGTCATTTCTTAACCCAGGTCACTTGCTTTTCAGGCATTTGGGCAGCCTCTTTCCTAAAACTCTGCTCTCTCCTTTTGAATTTTTTCACCCAGCACTCAAATACATCTACTCATAATCAACAAAATTCCATTGACTTTTTGGAACACTAGGCCGGCGAGATAGCTCAAGGGACTAAAGCACCTACTCAAGCAAGCTTAAGCAAGCGTAGGGACTGCGGTTCGATCCCTAGTCCCACTTGGCAAGCCAACCCCTTCCTCAGAGCAAGCTGAGCTGGCCACAAAAAAAGGGGTGGGGGGAGAACTTTTTGAAATGTCGCAAATCTAGAATGTTAAAAGCCATACTTAAAAAAAAAAAAAAAAACCCTCAGTAAATTGCAAGTTATTTTATTAATCTGGATGTAAACTTGCATTTATTTACTTATTTTTTAAATCTAATTGGGGATTTTTCTGGAGCCCGCCAAAGTCGGGGCTCCCGGCAAGCGCCTGGCCCCTGGCCTCACCTGGACGAACACGCAGCACCTGCTCGTGCCGCTCTTCCCTGACGCCCCTTTCTTGTCGCTCCTTCACATGCCACCCACCTGCATACAGGAGACGTTTCTGGACAGAGCCCAGGAGGTCCAAAGGGCTAGAGACCTGCAGGAGGCTCCTGCCCCAGGCCTCCCTCACCCTACTCCCGTCCCCAGAGATGTAGCGCGTCCTCCCCAGCCCTCACGGGAGGACTGACGTGTGCGCAGGGCTCTGGCCTGCTTCTGCCCTAACGCCGCAGCCGCCAGTCTGCCAGATCCCCAGCCGCCCGCCATGCCCGCTTCTGGTCTTCATTCAGCTGCTCGGACTCTCAGGGGCTCCTTCAGGAATCATGGATCTCCCTCCCTCGGGACTCAGCACCCCTACAGGACCCCTCCCCCTCCCTGTCAGGCTTCTCAGCGCCCCCCACAGGGCCTCCCCACCCCCTCTCCATGGACCCCACAATCCTCTGTGCCCCCTACAGAGCCCCTCCATTCTCCCTGTCAATCACGGCTGCACAATTCTCAGCGCCCCCTACAGGGCCCCTCCACCCTCCCAGCCAGTGAGGCTCCAGGATCCTCAGCGTCCCCTACTGGGCCCCTCCACCCCCTCTACATCATGGCGCCCACAATTTCCTTTGCCCCCTACAGGGCCCCTCCATTCTCCCTGTCAGTCATGGCCCCACAATTCTCAGCGCCCCCTACAGGGCCTCCCCACCCCCTCTCCATGGCCCCCACAATTCTCAGCGCCCCCTACAGGGCCTCCCCACCCCCTCTCCATGGCCCCCACAATTCTCAGCGCCCCCTACAGAGCCTCCCCACCCCCTCTCCATGGCCCCCACAATTCTCAGCACCCCCTACAGAGCCCCTTCACTCTCCCCACCAG